GAGCAGGGAGAGCAGTAGGCTATTACAAGAGTGCTGATTTTGTCCCGAATATCACAAGTTTAAATGTGATTTTATACAACAGTTCAGTAAATAAGAAGTTGATATTGTGTTATATTTTAAACACAATATTATGTGGTTTTGCTCAATTTTGCAAAGAATATATTACATTTAAAGCCATAGCAGAATTGTTGTGCGTCTCCGAGCAGCACAGCTGTGTTTAGTTTCTGAATGAATCCACGTTTTGAACGAATCGTGTGAATCAATGATTCAAAGGCCCATTCATAAACAACCCATTTACTTAATTCCTGAATGAATCAGCCGTTTGAACGAATCGAATGAATTACATTTACCGCCACCTGCTGGCAGATTTAGTTTCTTATTTAGAGTATAATTTAATAATAATAATAATAATAATAAAAACATTTAAGGGATAGTTAACTCAAAATTTAATCATTTACTCTCCCGTCCCTCATATTGTTTATTGTAATCTCTACTTGATACTTTCTCATTTAACACAAAAATATCTTTAAATAATCTTTTGTGGGTTATTTCACAGTCAAATTTATTTTGCGATTAATTAGAATAATTAATCGAAACATCATGTCATTAATTAGATTAAAAGTTTTAATCGACTGACAGCCCTAATATATCTATAATCTAATATATATGGATGTAAATATTTATTTATTTATAATTATTTGTAACTTGTCATATACTATTTGTGTTTTAAAAATTAATAGTACCTCAAACTACTCCTTTTCCAATCATTTAGACTTTTTTTTTTTTTTTAAGCCAACGGATAATGAAATGGGCCAAAAAGTCTCATACTGTAGACATACATTCTAGCACTTTTATGGCTATTCAGATAACCTTACAGAACCCCAGCAGTGCCCTCCTTAACATTGAAAGTGTCGAATCAGCGTGTGACAGGAAGTTGTGCACACGACACGGCGGTTTAACAGGAAGCCTCGGGCCAACGCTGGTCCATCTCCTCTCCCAGATGTTACACGCGGTGCGTGTTGATCGCTGACCCCTTTCAAAGCATCTCTATTTTTCTTCTAAACATCAGACCCTCATTAGAATCCAAACAATGAGTAAAACTGCTATTGTGGCACCCCTGGATCCCTCATCACAGGAAGAAAGACCACATCCCTTCATTGTGTCTCTGTCTATCCTCAGTTCATTTGCACTGTAGTGTCTGCTCATCAAAGGCCTTGGGTTTAGACGGGTCACCTACACACATGTGTACGTGCCTGTGTTATGTGAGGGCTGCCAAACAATTCATAATCATTGTTACAAACAGTCATTTCTCCCATGCGTTACTTCCTCAATGAGGTTTTTGATGGGTAAGATTGTACATATCAGGCCAGAACTTCTCTATTAATCAAATTCCCTAGAGCCTTATATATAATATTATCATTGTTATTTTATTGTTTTTTATTTTATAATATATATTGAATTTGAAAAAGAAATACAAGTAATAATATATTTCATTTTGGTAATATATTAATTATTATCATTTAATTATTTTTATTACATTGTGTGTTACATTGCATAATTAAAACTTGTGCATGGTTAAATTTGGGGTGTATTTATGGATTTAGCTGCTTTGTACTTTGTTAAATCTTTGCTGTCCCAGATCTGTTCAAGAAGAGCAGCTGTATGTCATTGACACTGACTATTATTGGACCATTAATTCTCGTTAGGGACAAAAAAACGTCATAAAGAGC